ATGAAGGTCATAAGCCTGTTTTTGTATGGGAACTCTATGTAGTTTCCATACTAACATAAGATAAACAGTCCACTGAAAAGAAACTAATTGGAACCCTAATATATAATTATTCAACAACAAAACTGTGGAAACAATGTAAACAGCACAAGATTTAGGTGTTGGTATTAGAGTTCTCTTCAAACAAGCGTCCATCGAGGTCACACTTTGAATGGATATTGAATTATGCTTGTGGAACATGAGAGAAACAATTCAAAGCTCCCTTCGATCTTCATCGAAACTTTGTTTTTTTTTGCCCCTTCCTCGAGCTATATTAAGGTTTGTTTTTCAATATAAGAATTAAGCATATCACCTTCCAAAAGGAGTTCCTGATTAAGATTAAGATTCATAGTACTTAAACTAAGTCTATGATCTAGCTACGTTCCAAAATAGTTTTTATAAAAACTCTCTCGCGATCAATCTATGTCAGTGACCTCGTTTAAAATGAGTCTATGGGCTTTTTTATTTCAAACTGAATTCTAAAATCAAAAAAACCACACCAATTTCTTCCGAATCAAACTTTTCTCGCTTGATACTACGTAGTCTCACTAAAAACCCTTAGTCCCCCTAGTCCTGCAAAGTCCCCCTTAGTCCCCCCCAGAAAAAGCTTAGTCCCCGCTTAGTCCCCTGTGCAGGGGACTAAAGCCTATAGTACACAAAACCACAAGCACACCCTCACGCTCACTCGCGCGCCCACACCCGCACCATGGGTGTGGGTGTGTGTGTGGGTCCCAGACCAACACCCACACCCTCAGTCACCCCCCCCTCACTCCTAGACTCACGTTTCAGTTTGAAATCAAGTATTATTTTTATTTGATAAATTCAGACTGAAATTAAATAGCCCATAGTATGTTTAAATTGCGAAAAGATTTCATTGGCGTTTTTTAAAACAATTTCTTCGATAGTATACCTCACTTATAAAATCTTCTTTTTGGCCAAGCAGCAAAATTCATAATTAATTCAGAGCTGATAAAACCTTTTGAATCAAATACCTTGAAATGTGAAACAAATTTTCTTTCGCTGCCATGTTCTTACACTGATCTTCCAAAATGAGAAGTGACACTCTCAAACCGCATTCGCTTACCTTCAAACAGACTACACGCGATACTTCTAAATCTTTTTTACATTCAGTTAGATTTATGCTGGATTTTCTAGCGGACTCTACAACTTCCTAAGCTAAATGTTAAATTGCATTGAAAGCACTAGGGAACTCTACATCTTCCTAAACTAAAATATAGAAATTGCATTGAAAACAGTAGCGGACTCTACATCTTCCTAAATTTATAGATAGAAATTGTATTGAAAACAGTGGCGAACTCTACATCTTCCTAAAATTTATAGATAGAAATTGTATTGAAAGCA